TATCATTGGCTCTGTTGGACAGATCGAACAGCTGATGATGTGTCCAAAAATGGCTTGTTCTCATAGTGTACCCACTGGATAGCTTAGAAATCTACGGGGTACCAACAAATGATGCCAAATTCAACCAATGCCCAATGGTAGATAGTACAAGCCAAGTCAAACAGACGGAGAGAGAATGGCGTTATTGACGACCGAAGATGACACCGTTTGTCTCTTCAAAAAATACAAAAGGTGGTCTTAGGAGACATACAATACTTCGATGGACTCGGTTTGTGACCTGCAGGTATGACCGATTTTTGTTGCTGTTGCCCGGACATGCCAACTACTCGGCACTGATGACCTGATGCAAGCTTGTCTCAATGGCTGGAATGTGTCCATCTACAGGGCGGTTGATACAGCCGGCCCGTGTGTGTGTGTGTGTGTGTGTGTTTGAATTGCAAGAGCCCTTTCAATTATGCATCCGTAACAAGACAACCTGCGTAGTTAACCATGGGCATATGTGAAATCAACACAATGTCATTCAGTCAAAAAATGTCGCATAATGCTTGGATCCTGCTGGATTTTCTGTTGGTTTAAGCATTCCTTAGCGAAGCTTGTTTATCGTCCATAGACTTCTTGGGATGCCCTGGATTGATTTGCTGTTTGCTATACGTATTGAACCGGACAACCAGTAGATTTGGGCTACTAGATGCTGCTTATAAGCTGAATCTGCAGAGTCATATTCTTGTTCCCTACGGGCTTTTCTTCTAATAAGGAAGTGCATAAAATCTGCGCCAGCATTCTGACTGAAGGGCCAGAGTCAAAAAATGTTAGTTGTGATTCTTTCAAATTTCAACCAATCTGAACTCAGCCACAAGACCGAGCAAACGACCTACCACGGGGGCTTGTGCTTTTACTCGGCTTTGCGTTCGACTGCTCAATAAAACTGGTCCTCATTCAGCGAAACATTTTTTGCTGCAATGGTGTGTTCCGAGTCACACTCATTGATGGACGGCTGGTCGACAATATTCCTCCCGCTGAAGGTCGTCGCTCAAAACGATATATTCCAGTTTGAACCTGCGCGCGACATAGCTCGTCCATTTTTTTAGTTAAAGCATTACCTATCCTAATCTGAGTTTATACAAGAAACAGATTAGGAAATTCCCCGTCTGTCGTACGTCCATTGTACTCGAGAATGGTACAGGCCATCTTACTTATTTTTGGTCACTTGTTAACCTCACTTTTACGTGAAGCTAAGTACCAAGATAGTGCGCTAACTCATTCACCGCTACAAGCAAGCATTTAGCTATAGGCAATGTACCAAAGTGGAATTTTATGCACAAGCCTGTTCAGGGGGTGTTTTCCGAGGCATTTTTGTCAAATCTGGAAGGACCGGATGGGAAATGTTAGCAGTAAGTGTTCGAAGAAGGAGTTCATATGCCTTTCAATTAGAGTATCTATGATGGTACTAAAAGAGGATGAAAAAAATGGTTTCCAGTAACTAGCTAGTGGTTGAAAATATGAAATTTCGTACAATCGGAGTAGTAAAGAATAATAATAATACAATATAATGTGTATAATATATAATAATAATAATGATTCAAAGAATATTGAAGTAGGTTCACTCAACGTGTCCACATCTTACTGAGGAACTGGAGATCACTATATTCTGAAGGTTCGTGCGTGTAAATTGAGGTAGTTGATGCCGCAGTAGGTGAGCTATTCGCGAGTTGTATACCCATCTCAACTGTGAATATAATTTCAATACATTTGAAGGGGTTTGGCTGTAACAAAATACCGCGCTTCATGTTTGAATAAATAGGTTTACAGTAATGCAGAAATTGCGCTTCCAACAAACATCGTTATTCACATATATTATAACCAAATCATCACGTGTAGAAAACAAATAGGAATGGTGCTTAAACAGCTCTCTAAGGCATACTGACAAAATTTTTTATAAAGCTAATAGCGCTGTTTTTGGCCAACATAAGGAACGATTGGTGTGCCCTCAATGTGATCTCCGAAGAAATCAGGCAACCAGAGTTCTCCGGGAACACAAACACAGAGACTGCCATTGTCGATAAACAGGCTAGAAATCATAAAGGAAACTACTCAAAGGTTGCTGAAAACTATTTGACAGGCGGTATCGCCCCTCTTAGGGCTCATCAATTGGGTGTAGTCACATTGTCAACCGTATGCTCTAGTTGAACCCAAGTTGGACAGATCTGACACACACTCATTTGAATATCAGGGAAGATGCAACTGAAACTCTCGTTTATGATATTCTTCAACTGATTGTACTGCAAAAAGGCCGCTTCATGTTTTAGTTGGTGCGGTATTCCAGATATCACCCAGATCCCAATGAGCCCAGAGAAAGCTGAAACCGACTGTGCTCTGTCGAATAATTTTCATCAACCTTGGGAGCAGTGCTCCTTGAAGAAAGTTTACTGCAATACATTCAATATCGTACCGAACACAACATGAGGCAACCTGTATACAGCCAGTCCAGTTGAAAAGATCATAATGTGTGATTCGGCTAGGAGGTCCACCGTTACAACCAAATTTAGCTTGCAGATGGGCCTCTTTCATGAGTTTATTCTCATTTTTTGAACACCTCTACGTATCCGCTTTCCCAGTCGTCTTGTAGTCCAAACTATATGTTGAATAAATTGTGAATACGGATACTAGGAGTTCTGTTGAGCCTGGAGACTATTGGATTTGTCCTTCCTTATCAAGCCACCTGTTTCCGAATTGCCTATCCAACCACTACATCGCTGTTCAATGACAGTGAAAAGACGCAACAACATGATCTAAACTAAAACGTAAGGTCAACGCAAACAAGTACAAGGCGATTGGAGCTGGGTGGTGGGCAATTCCACAGCCGAAATCCGCAATTAATTTGAGTAATTTTAATGAATTCCTAAGGAATATGAAAGTAAAAATGATATCCTCAATGCACTTTCCTTTACCCTACAAGCTAAGTTGTCTTCCTCCCCAGCAGGAGTTTGAGCTCTTTGGGGGCATCCTAGAGGAAGAGAACGGCGGTGACCAATCAAAAAAGTTGGCGGTCAACTTACCATCTCGCTCATAGTAATCCACAATATCCTGCACTGTGCGGGAATCAACTGAAAATGCAAGAAAAGTGATGGGATTATCAAAGACCAAAGGAAATCCACTTGAATTCCTTATTTCGTGCATCCGTTTTGGTAGCTGTGGGATACAAATCTACGGCGTCGTCCGACGCTGACTGGGAGTAAGTTACAGCATACACATAACAAAACCACTCATTTAACGCGATAATTCCTTCGTAATTGGGAGAGGTGCAGTCACTCCACTGAGCGGCTGCACAGCGCTGTATGCTTCAAATGATCAGAAGTCGATCATTGGACGCATTCCACCCCTGCAGTAAGCCTAAATATTGTTATGTCGGGGAGAGTTTATTGGCTGTTGTTCAGATGCCAGTTGATCTATCCGCCAAACTTGGCAGCTGGGTTTGCCACCGTGCGCAGAGACATCGTCGGTGTGTGCTAAGATGGGTAGGTCCTCCACGTTTGCTTGCCCTTACATAATTTCTGGAGAGGAGTGACTGTCTCGTAGTGCGATTGGTTCGTCCGGAATTTGAATTGCATTGTGATCTGATTACCTTGCATTCGACTGGTTCTTCCATTTCGGTAATTCTGTTCCTTTAGTTGGAACTGCATAACGGACCGAGCAGTCAGTGGTACAGCGGCGTTTAAGCTTGTTTAATGACTTCATCAGGGCTGCCGAAAGCAGATGGATCTCAGATTCAGATACTGTAGAAGTCACCGGTATTAGTACTTACGAGCCTCAACTTTGTATCCAGAAAAAACATCTGGTCAGACATGGGCACCCACTTGTTCGGAAATCCACATCCCTATGTCGGATGGAGGCACTGTCAGTTCCGACGAGACCTTTGGCCTTTACTATTGGCTTTTAGCTTAGCTGTCTTTGGTTCACTCTGCCGGTTGCTTTTACCTGTTCTACACAGTTGTCCGAACCAACCAAAGGGGTGTTGAACAGGTCACATTTTCTTGCAGTGTGTCTTTCCTAAATGTTGAGTAGGTGCATTGAGACGGACTGGTAGACCACAGTAGTTCCATAGGATTGTTACTCCTCACTGAGATTGCTCCGTGTTTATCTTTTTGGAAGCCTAGGGAGTTGAGTTTTTCCCGACCTGCGTGCAAGCGCTGGGATTTATCATGAGCAGTCGGATTGGCTCTGTACACCTGTCGCAGGCTGCATGAATGAGCTACTTGGAAGTGGGATAGTTTGCAATGTGTATTCTACAGAAACGAACCATTACAAGCAAGTAGCAGGGACCAGAGCAACTCGCGATAGGAACAACGTCCGAACCGGCTAGTGATCATATGACTCACTGATGTAATTCACAACCCCCTACGCAAGGTAAGAAGATTAGAACCCATTTTTGAGGCTCTAAAGAGTTTTAACACTTTCTGCTCTGTGGAATGATTGCTCAAACTGAAGTGAACTTGAAGGTAAATCAACTACAACGATGACGGGTTTTCAAAGCCCGCTGTCACGGGGATTCAGGTCATTCGGTTTGAATAATTGCAGTGATTGGACTGGGTGGTCGATGGAACTTGTTGCCGTGTCTCCTGGTTGATAAGAGTTACGGAGCCAAGTCTCATCAATACATCACTGACCAGTCAGTGCCGTTTCCAGAAGGCATGTTAGAAAACTAACCGGAAAGTGTGGGCACACTTTGTACGCACAGTGACAAGCTTTGCGGTTTATTACACTCCGTTCAGTGTTTGATGATACATTTTGCCTAAATCAAACAAACGAATCGAACCATCGTGAGAGTACGGAGATATTTTAGTGAAATTTCGCAACAGTGTAGCCCTGAATGAAACCGTACACCAGCAAATAAACATGCAATATGGGGTGTACTCGCAGCTAGACCTGACGTTATCACAAAGTTTGGCTTAAAGAGAGCAATTGGCGGGTAGTTTACTTCGCAGAGATGCTTGTGACTTACGTGACGAATATCTGATCGTTAAACTCAGACATCTGGAGGACGACGTACTAATTTTCATTTCGAAATGAGCCTTGTTCGACAGTATAATCCTGTGTGACACACTTGGCGCGGCTTCGAACACCTCTGATCTTGCCGGAGCGGACGTGCTGATATTCAGTGACCAGTTACTTGGAGTATGAACCTTTATTGGCAAATGAATGGCATGTAAAATGTTTGTATTAAATTCATGATGAACTATGTCTTGGTCACTGTTCATCATAATTTCTACTTGCGAATGTTTAGTAGTGCGTTCGGTGGGCTTTTATCCGTATTTCCATCAAGTGAACGCGGATGTTTTCCTGTTTTGACCACTCACACTGTAAGTGAATGGACTTCAGTTTCAATTTTACCAGACTGTACAGTCAGCAAGCAGCCTAGATCTGGTTGGACGGAGATAAACTTCTCTCTTCCGCCATTTGGGCCATTTCAAAACTCAAGTGTAGCTTACACGAGAGTGCGAACGAGAACCCAGTGACTGTGCTTGCTGTTTCAGTCAAAAGGCCCATCTACGAGGACTTCCCAGTCAAGTAGCACTTATTACATTGTAAGCTAACCATACACTTTTTGGTTGCATGTCAAAAGGCCATCTACGAGGAGTTCCCAAGCAAAGAAGACTTATTACATTGTAAGCTAACCATACACTTTTTGGTTGCATGTGGGTGATTGGGCCAGCCATAACCGTTATTATCTGAACTGAACTAAGTCTTCAATTAGAAGCCCTTACCCACAAGTGGACCTGCTAGTCCGCCATCTCTTGATTAATGAGGTAAATCCAGCAGCAGTAATGAACCGCTTGGCTTACGTGTCAGAAGAACAGAACTCGAATCCGCGTATGACCGGTAATATATAGGACGGCCATATATATANNNTGACTTGGTCAAACCAAGTCAGATGGATGATAGGGATCTTGGAGTACAAAAGCGTAACCAAGAGACAGCGATGGCTAGCCAAAACCAGCGAGAAAGGTTCAAGTCCTAAGTAACAAGCCAACACATTTGTTGAAGTCTCCCAGCTGGAGTGTCAGGATGCAAAAGGAACAACCTGACGGGGGTGACATCGAATAAGCATCTCTCAAGCCGATAAGGGCCATTTGGAACAGGATGTTGCATATAACGACACGGAGTAAATCACGCAATAACCGTGGTACCCTTTTCCCACGAGCAAAACTCCACGAGGTAACAGTCGCTTTGACCGGGGAATATTTACAGACCATCGTTACTTCCGCAGCTGATTTATGTAAATTTGCTAAACATCTTCACCGACCATTTTACACTTATCTCTATATGGCTGAGGCGCGATGTCTGAATGGTAATAGCCCACGGATTTCTTGATATCACATTGAGGCAACCGCTTAAATCAATAAAACATGGTTGAGATGCGGCACTATTCCGGTAGGACCGTGATGCACGGATTGGAACAAACAGGGGGGAACTGAACCAATCGATTAACCAGTCCTCGTTGTGGTTAAATGTCATCATTTCGCACCATGAATGCTCCATAAACAGTATGGTATAGTGGTGGCGTCTGTAACCGATCACAGAACCTTGCTAGTTATACATGGAGCAAGCGCACGTCCAATCAGTACACAATGGTGGAAATGTGCTACCTCCCTATTAAACTAAAACCACATTGACACGGTGACAGACCCTCCGAACAGCATCGAGTATTGGAACTACAGAGCATAGTTAAGCTCGTAAATTTCTACACTTTCCGCGTCGCAGGTCAAACGCCTGTGTGAAAGGCTATCGGAAAGTTACCTGAAGAAAAATCCGTATTCCTCCATTGACTTGTGGCTAGACCTTTGGTGCACAAATCCAAGTTGGGGCTGATGGTTTGGGTTTGACATCCGGAATTTAGTAGCTCTCTCAAAGTTCTACGTTGATCTTTCATGATTGACATTCATTCCCGACATCAATTAGCATCTCATGCCTTATCGCACTAAAGCTAAACTGGGTTCCAGTCACCCTGCATGGTTCGGCGAAACATCCAAATGGCAGAAAAATATGGAGCAGAAGGTGAAAATACTGCAAGCAAATCGATTGTTTGTAGCAGCTCTCAAGAATAGTTTCTGAACAACATGCATTAATCCGTCGAGACGTATTTTCATAATGTCAATGCGAGAAGCTCTTGTTCTAGACATGCGAACCAAATAAATTTCGTGCTAGAATATTGCTTCCCAACATCAAAAGAAGTACGGTACCTTGACTCACGCGAAATGTATCGAAATTCAAAATGATGTAGTTTCTTTCGGACACTTCAATAGTCCAACGACAAACGTTAGAACGATACCATCGATCGGTGCCCAACCAGGTAATGTTTCCAGAATGGCGACCAAGCCGAAGGTCGCATGGTACTAAAAAAGCAGCCAGGATATTGACTGGAAATCACACGATAAATACGAACGAATAACATCGTAACTAAGTTGTGATCGTTGATTTGACCATCCTAGAACTGACTCAGACAATTGCGTGACTACTGATAACTAGCCATAGGACTGACTAGTCATCAAGTTTTTGCACTAGTTGTCTCGATACAAGGTATGAGTTTTGGACCAACCAGTTCATAGGGTAATCAGTCTCCTGCCAAATAGCCTTCGATGGTGACTGACGGTCAGTCAGTCAAAACTATACCGAAGCTGAGCAGCTGTTCAGCCGATGATGAGTAATTCAAATCGAATTCACCAGCTACGCAAGCTCGTTGACGAACTCTTAGCCTGTCGGTTACAGCCATGTTTCTCGAGCCCTCCACTTATACCTGATGTCTGCTAATAAGGATTAAAGGGTTCGTCTGGCTGAGTGCCTGTCAAACTCTTAATCGATGGCAAGTCCCAGGAATCGACGAAACGAAGGACGAACAGTAACTGCTAATAATGTGAGTGTATTTAAAAACAAAATTTCTATCTCTGTTAGCGTCACTTTCCTTATTGCAGTCGACGGTTTTCTAAACAAATAAGGTGCGGTCCAACGTACTTGATAATGGACATTCGTCAAAGTGCATGCTTCAACGTTTATTCCATGTGAAACAATGAATCAGAGCGGCACATACAGAGTTTGACATCTTTCACCGGAAGAGGAACACACAAGAGAGGAAGCACGATTCTGGACCTCTCTGGTAAAAAGGGATGTGCCATTCCTTCGGGAAAGTGGATTTCAGGATGAATCAGGACTGAAGCGCGACGGTGGCGCGGCCTCCTCAGGGAGAACCATCTCATTTAAGGTGAATGGACTGCAGTATTTAATCCTGTCATTCATGTGGAAACTTGGTCCTGTCAATCTGGCACATAAACATAAGTGGTACCAAGTGGTATCTCATATGAAGAGTGGAAGTTGACGCCTAAAAATCTATCGAAGACTGCTCCAGGACAGGTGCTTTAGTCAGAATAAGAGACGGAAAGCCAAAATGGGATGTGACACATAGAATCAGGAGTCGTAACAAGTGACCACGTGATGCGAATTGCGTGAGTGAAGGCCACTTGGGACATATCCTGTCTGAGTTCGAGGCACTCAGATCACTGTGCGACTGCCCGCGGCCGGATGGTGGTATGTTCGTTTACAAAGAGAATCGCCCTAGAGCTTATTTTCACTATGTATTGCTGAGGATTCTCAAAAATAGTAAAACCATGTTTCTTGGCTTTCCAGCACGAATTTTCCTCACTTAAATAATGAAATCTGACTTCAAAATTACGAGCCACCACACTATTGACAACCTTAAATTAATCGACACCGATGAAAAACCGTGGCTGTTACAGTCAGACCACCTAGTTCTAGCATGGATTGCAAATTAGATGAATAGATTACCACAACGCAGTTTAAATCCACATTCCACCAATCAAATTAGCTTGGGACTGCAAACGACTGGCATGCCACAGAAAATATATTGCGAGGTCATCTGAAAGAACTTGTTGACGGGTATGCAGGAGTGTGGAATCACCACCTACGGCGTACTCGTGGTATTTACCTGGTTAGCTAAACAGGAGTTTGTTAGCCAACTGCTCATCTCTACAAACGAACCGAGAAAAGACGTTTTTTCAAATAGTCACAGTCATTTTTGAGATGATGAGTGATTGATTGCTGATGTTCAACATCAATCAAATGTGAGTTTTGAGCAGAACTGTTGTTCGCACCAATCCTGGTATATTTTACTACATAAAGAATGTTTGAGTGAACTATGTGTTTATATTTCCACCTCATCATGGCCTGCCGTCGCTAGAACACTGAAACACGATGTACCAAGTACTTTATCATTTTTGATGTTCAACTTACTTCCAGTAACGTTTATAGCGAACTGGATTCCAGATCCCATTCCATCATTTACCTCCAGGTTCAAACGGAGGATTCGGTTATAAACCACGGTCCTGTTCGAGGCTGATGTCCCAAATCGCGCAAGCACCCGGTTAGTTTTCTTATCTTCCAAGGACAGTGTGAACGGAGAATTTTCAGGGTTCTGAAAAAACTTATCCAGTGAGTTATTCAAATATGTCATTATTTTATTGGGACAATCCTCACTGTTGAAAAAAATCCCAATAAAATGACCTGAATATCAGACAATGAAAAATTTCGCCTCAGGCATACAAAACACAACCTAGCTACAACAAGATATGTTATGTATGTAGATAAGTGAAAAAAACGTAGTGAGTTTAGCTCATTGGTAGAGGATGTGCCCAACGTACCGCAATTCGAGTAGTTGCTTGTTTGTTTCGACCCGACACGCCAATAAACCCAATTAGCCGAGATTGAACCGCTGCTCTTGCCGAATGCACAGCACAGACTGGGGGCGATACCGATTCATGGCATTTCAGTCTATGTGCCCTGTCCCAGCTAGAGGCCTGATCATCAATGAGGTAACTTTTGTCTCGTTCGACCCTCAGTGTACACCGCTATCCTCACCGGTTTATTCAGGCTGGTCCAGTGATCACAGTGCTTTAAGTGAACATTTAGCCGCACATGAGTTGATGGGCAGGTTCGTGAATATCTCGTTAGGGTCATCTTTCACGTACAGAAGTGTTGAAGAAAGACCAAAATATTAAACAGTGGGTTTCTGTAAAGAAAGTGTAGGTTAAAAAACCTTATATCCCCTACATTACTTGTGGGATGTGCGTCATTTCTGAGTAGTTTTGAAGATAATGAATCGGATAGAAAGCGTTACTGATGTCCGTCGGTTGGATAGATATCATATAATCGGTCAGGGAGACAGTTTCACGAAATCATCACAAAGCTGATACCGATGATCTTCGAAAACACGATCCACACCTCATCCTTTACAGGAACCAATAGACCGTAAACATAAAAACCACTATGGATCAACAGTCCATTTTTTGGTCAGTCTGAAAATACAACCCATGAGGGGCGCGGCGTTGTTGTACGTACTACGCAGGCCTTGAGGCGACATCTGACAATCTGAGCGTTAGTGTTTGCTTTAAAGGAGCGGTAAAAATATATGATTTGTCGGCTCGGTCACTTGTTTACGAAAGTTTTGTGTCAAGTTACTTTGAGAAACGCTAGCCATTCCCGGATTGCCAAGTAAGCCAAGTACCGTGCATCTTTGTCCATGTTACCGCTGGATTAGGTTTACAAAGGTCACTTCACTGAGGGCAGCGAGATGCTTATTTGCGTAAACTTCATCACATTCCTGGTTTGTGAGAAACCGACACCTCCGTTTTTCACCGTAAAGCTGAGGCAAATTTACTGCAGCCTTCAAGCAGTTGTGAACAAGAACTTCGTCCGGGTGACTAAGCGGAGCGCAGAAAACCTATCCAATTCCTGCGGCACGTTGTCTTCAATGGTATTCTGGAGAAGGGTGCTGCATTCCTCACTTACGAACACGTTTAAATTTGAAGGTCTCAGTAGTTGGTCTATATCCGCATCATCAATACATCCACATAAGAGCGACAAGAGATTACACATCCAATTCTGCGCCCCATAGTTGATTAAAAAAGGGCCCGAATATAACTTTAGATGACAAGATCAATTCAAGAGAGCAATAATCCTATCAAAAACCTGAGGTTTATGATTTTAAGCAAGAGATGAATTGCACTGTGTGCTTTATTTTATGAAATACTCTCCAATGGTTTTGTGGAAGCCTAGAGAGCCGTTCGCCCAAGGCACCAGTAGGTGTGAGTATGACCTTCTAAAGCGACCTTTCTATTTTAGTTTCAGGAATGTCAGTATCGGTGGATCTAAGGTGCCTGAGAGTAAGTTAACTAGTTATGATTTTACGCTGTCGTGTAGTTTGAAACACCTTTCTTCGTCTCACCGATAATGTCCAATTCACAATCAAACAGTCCAGCTATGGCACTCGTTTTCTGTATGGCTATCGTACATCCCAAATTGTTGCACATTTTGTCACCTAGAAATAAATGACAGTCTACCTCTTCGGGAGAGCGGACCGAGGATGATGTGTATCAAATGACGTTTTGCGCTGGTTTTGAGATTACTCGGAAAAATGGTGACACGCTGCTTAATTGTAGTTAGTAGTAAAGTCGTAAATGTCGGATAGAAGATTATTCTCGGCTTATGACCTGTTTAGTGAGGTACAACACACGATGGAGGTTGACACCACCAATAAAAGGCGTTTCGGTCCTTTGGAGGACTGGCTTCACACGGTAGGTACCTAGTTTCTAGAGAAAGTAGTTTACTGAGCTTCTCGATGGACCAAACTCGGCAAATTGTGCAAAAAACGCAATTAAAATGGAGAATATCCTGAAGTTAGCCAGTAGTGGAAAAATATGTATAACTTTATTAGTGTTTTGTATTAAACAGTCCTTGTTAGTATAAATTGCATCCGATTAGCGTCCTCAAGTCCACTGCTACAAGTACTTCCAAACTTTCAGTGCAGGAAATTTTACCGCCCAACTATTCTGTGTCGATTGGTTATGAAATCATAACCTTCTATAACTGATCTTGTGTATTGCGTCCTTCTCTGTTCATATTCTTTCCCAAGAAGATTAGCTCTCAAAATCTGGCGGGACTAAAATCCCTGTTATGTTACGTCTGCATAGCAAACTATAGATCAGCTTGCATTTCTGTTTTAGCAGAATGTAGCCGTGGGGACCTTCTCACTGAAATATCGTGACGCTTATCTAGAGCAAATTCGGTTCGAATTGAACGATGTGATGTCGATCACCACATCGCTTTTTCCTTCTTCATAGGATTACCTTGTCAATATCTACGCTGCTTTTATCAAAGATCCCCACCATTGTATTAACTGAACTTTGATCAAGTACTTACATGTTCGTCGATGTATCTATTGCACTTCGGAGTTTGTAAGATCATGGTTGGATAAAAAAGCAATACTTAAGCCAACAAAACTTGTCCCAGACTGGTGGTGCCCAAACGAGTTCACTTCGCCACCAATTTGCTTCACGATCGATGACAAACTCTTCTGGGAACACTAGTGAACCCAAGGTAAACTGTGTAAGAGTTTACAAAAAACTGTTCGTCTTCCATCGAATGCTCAAGAAAGAAATTGATTCTAATAGGCTTCTCAGTCGGGCAAAGTTTATTTACCCAGCTGAGGATGCCTTCTCTGGTTGTTTTCATGAGAGGATGTTTTCGGTAAACTGCGCTTATGAGGTGTAAAGCAAAAATCGTATCCAGACTTTGTTAAGTTAGGGGCCGCTACCCTTTGCACATCCGTCAAATTTCAGAGCAGAAAGTTTGACCGCCAATCGATACGAATCATATAGTCATTTTAAATGAGACATTCACCGTGCTCTACTGACCTGTAGCCCGGTTAGTCGGAACGATTAAATCCTGACCCCAAGGTCATTACTTCAAAACTTTCGAGGCAAGGCTTCGGGCAAATTCTCACTTTGTTGGTGAGGGCTTGTTGGTATGAAGATGATTTTGGACCATGGAACGAGAAAGTAATTCAGATGACCACCATACCGACGTAGATGAAACGACAACTTATTCGGTGGAATAACCTGATTTGCGAATTCTATTGATGTCAAGATAATTCATTTGTTCTCCAGCATTATACTGGTTTCAAGGTTCCAAGGTTCTTTCTGGTGTACTAATTACTACGAACATTTAGTTTTTAGAACGGAAGGATGTATGTTGGAACTTGTTCACCGGGGAACTTGAGCTGCCAAACCGCACGACAGTTAGCCTTCAGGCCCTCGCGAGTGTTCATCCCCAGTATTGTATCATTGATACAGTATCATTCGTAAATAGATACGATATGAATCAAAATGTATGAGTTGGCCAAAACATACACTTAAAAAAGCCAGTCGGAAATTCAGCATCTTTTTTTCCGGGTTTTCAACAATCCATTGACATTTCAATCGGTTCGAGTCGTGTGTAGTAAACACATGTCGAAACGAAAACACATGTTCTTCCCCGGCAGTCTGAATGCCACATGGCGCACCGACTCCAAGGTAATTGGAGGCTAGAGATGGAGGGGAGGAGAGATGGATCCGTTAGACCACCAAACCGGTGATCGGAAAGCTGAAAGACGTATTCAGGTAGTAGATGTTGAGTGCTACGTGAAAGGCATAGCAATGAACAAATAGTCTATCCTTATATGAAAAATGTAGGCTGACAAGGGAGGTTATAAACAGGCAATCATGCATTTTTCGTGAAATATCTCATAAAATTCTAAGGATGACCGATTTTTTGTGCTAGGGTGCCCAAGAGGTGTTCAGTAGCCAGCATAATACCGAAGAGTTGCGAGCCTCTCAGGATATTTTGGAAACATGCCAGTGAATCAGGTTTGCATTGCTGTAAGCAAAATTTCAGACTCTTGTCAGGTGAGTTTAAAGATTAAAAATGTTTGGGTGGCAGCTGTCCGTCAGAAAACCAAACTTTTGGCTTAGTGGATCCGTATCGAAAAAATTGCCTGGAAAGCTAGAGTGGTATTTGGTTAAACAGGATTTCTTTTGAAAAGAAGAGGAGATCTAGGCCCAACTAGTCTGGTATTTTATCAAACAGACTGAGCACCATATCGGGTAATAATATGCAAAGTTTCACGTCAAAACAGCGTGGTGGGATATGACTTTGTAATCCGAGGGTTCGTTTGCCCTGGCTCCTCAGTGCGAATCCAGACATGACAAGTAAGCCTCAGATTTTGCCTAAATGTAGTACGAATTACTTTGTCAAACTGTGTTAACGCGTAGCGCTTATTTGTAGCCGAATAAAATACACCGACTGAGATAAAGTATCAGAAATTTGCAAACTCCATGAATAAAGCAGTCTATAACGTTCAAACAAACAATAAACAGGAATTAAAGGCCACAGTACCCAGGGAAGCTTGATATGATCTGTTTGCCGAGCTTGGTTTGCAACCATTTTGTCCCCAGTCGAAGAGACAGCTGAGTGAATAGTTGCTCCTCACCTGTTTGCATTTATGTGTGCTGCCTTTAAGCTGACTAGCTAATTGGTGTGCGCATTTTTTGTAAAATTATTGGCCAGTTCGCAGTTTTTGTTGCCTTTTTTTCAAGGGTACCTGGTCCGCTTTCCCATTGGTCCATTCCTGATCTGTGTTGCGTTGTAGTTGTTCTTAAGAAGCCTTCAGGGGTCTTGATAAACAGTGGGAACAGTCCGTTAATAAGTCTAGTCTCTTTTTTCTCTACTTTATGGGTGACCTTGGGGTATTCGGAGGATAAATCCTCTTTAGTTTTGTTTGATTTTGGCTCTGGTTAATGTTAGCCATTTGACTGAGCAATACCTCCAGGTAATAGGCATCTTAGAGTACTAGAATGGTTTTTTTCACAAACAGAGATGTAGCAAAAATTTTTGGACGGATTCCTTTGGATTGGTATACATGCTCTTCTTGTTGGAAAAATTTCTAAGTACGGATAACTTGGTATTTCGCAGGTAGTAAAGGCATTTTAACATTTCGAGAGAGACTTCATCATGGTAGTGGTTGATTTGCGCCGGAAAAACGAAGATTACTGCATAACAGCTTCCACCTTGTTGTGAATCATTAACAGGGAACGGTCTTTGGAGAGTGAAACCTACGGCGGAATATAGATTCCTAGAGTAGACTCATAGAACGCGCGCTGCATCCGATTTTCAAACCTGAGCAGTCTTCAGTTATAAAATGAAACCTCAGGTTTCTGTATGGGATTTGATAATTACGGGTCCTGCATTTAGAGCTCAAACAAACTGTCCAACGTAGGATATAACTGACTTGTATTCGTCCAAACTGATTGCATCCTACTCTGATTGCAATAACGAAATTAGTTTAAATGAGGGGGCGGTTATAATTGGAGCAACTTGCCGGAAAATATAACAGCTCCGTTTGCCGCGGGCGGCAAACGATCAACTGCAAAAGGATAGGAACATGTTGAAAGATAATCTTAATTTTCATAGAACGCAGCTGCATCCGATTTTCAAACATGAGCAGTCTTCAGTTATAAAATGAAACCTCAGGTTTCTGTATGGGATTTGATAATTACGGGTCCTGCATTTAGAGCTCAAACAAACTGTCCAACGTAGGATATAACTGACTTGTATTCGTCCAAACTGATTGCATCCTACTCTGATTGCAATAACGAAATTAGTTTAAATGAGGGGGCGGTTATAATTGGAGCAACTTGCCGGAAAATATAACAGCTCCGTTTGCCGCGGGCGGCAAACGATCAACTGCAAAAGGATAGGAACATGTTGAAAGATAATCTTAATTTTGAGCTGAAGGATAGAATGAATGCATGAATGCATAGCCACTCTTGCTAAATAAAGCATCAATACTACTTAGAACAATCCAGCTGTTTTGCAGTGCAATCAAAAACGAACACATATTACACGGTTCCGCTATTGAGGGGGACAAAAATCTACAAATTCGAACTGCGCATGCTGATAGAGTTAATTCAGTTGATCATATTTATTGACCGCAGCTACTGCAATGGAATTACACTCGGTTATAGAACAGTAGCGTGAACAAAAAGACTGAAAATTCTGTCCTTCGTTTCCATTTCTGAAAAAAATATGTAAAGGGTCAACGGCCAACTTGAGGTGCTCGTGTGTGGCGTGAACCTGAGTTGTCGAAATTGTACTACATGATCTTATCCACCCGACCAGCTAAATGGAGCAAGAGTCCTGAATACAGTTTGAAATTCCCGGTACAGTACGCACCCGTCTAGATTTTTGTTTTTTTTTTAAAGTGGCTTCGATAGACAGTCGCAGTTTTCACGCATCTGCCTCTCATCATGAATTTCACAAGAGTCAGTAGAAGCAACATAGCAGTGCAGGTTGGATTTAACCACTTTTAGTATCCTACCAGCTGTTAACATGTATTCAGAATAAAGCACTGAACGGGGCATTGGACGGGTAATTCGACTAGAGAACACGTAAGCTAGTGAAAGTATGACAGCCAGCAAAGGTCATGAGAATCCGGATCACGCGTCCGCTACTAAGGCATGACGGGGCTGGCCGCAAATTCCAGTTGTTTTTACAAATTAGGACCTCCCGTTGCAGCAAAGCATGCTAAGCGGTTGTTGCCCTGACATCTTATGACTCTGAATAACTCTCTCTGTTTTCCGCACTCGTTGCAATCCACCAAGTGTCCAGCGATCGCACTGAACGGAAGCTTTGAATTACTGAATGCTAGCTTCCTCGAAAGTGTTTTGAAAGTCTCTAAAGACAACTGTCTCTTGGTTCTTCTGAATGTCGAAACCTTCCAGAACAGCTGCTGCCCAGCACTCGTAAGAGCAGATTTAATGTGTGGCTAGCTTTGAAAAGTCTTGACAAACCAGTATTGAATCTCTATTACCTTATCCAGTCTGATTTGGAGTCTTACAGTTGTTAAGTCTTCACTGGCCTACTTGCATGCCTGTCAATGTATTTATCCGCCATTCTGCTGGAAACGTGATTCGTAATACATGCGAGTAGCTGATGAGATGCTCAGCATGCTTCATTACAATCTATACTGCACAATCTTCAATCAACTACTCAATGCAGATAGGGGAGAACGAAGGAAAACACCAAACTGACAAAGTTTCTCATTCTGCATATTTTATGTCCACTGAGCTCCACTTTGAAGTAGGGCGTGTATAAACCAAAACTATGGGTTGAGAACAAGTAAACGGCTACAAATTCGGGTGGTTTTTAAAACCTTTGTGATTACATCCCTTAGGCCAATCTTAATGAAACTGTAGAGTAGAAATGAAAGGCCTAATGGTCCTGAAACGAATTGTTCATTTCTATTCCTCTTGACTTTTCCGTGCTGTTTGTTCAATTAAAACATTTGATGAAATGTGTTACAGCCGTCCTAAGTCTCTTCAGTGGCCTGAGGAGACATGTCCTCGAATTTATCGCTTATAGATTTTACAGCAGTTGCTAGAACACTTTTGACAGTGAGTGTGCAAGATTTCCATATTTAAAAGTTGTAAACATTTTGCACTCATAAACGATCGTCATTTGACCAATCAAGCTGATTCTTCAAACGTGATTATTCAAACGACTGTTTCGTCGACTTGCAACACGTCTGCCAGTGCCGCAGACGAATTTAAAAACCGAAAAACTAAAAGTGTGCGGTGTGCTGAAAAGGCCGATGACATCACTGTTTGCTTTTTAAACTGCGCCTCCCTCTCATTAGGGGGAAAGTTCAGCTTAACTCACATTCACATTTAAAATGCCCAGAGTGAATCGGTTTCGTCCGGGTGAGTTACACCTGCCGGAATGAATAAAGTCCCCGAGATAACTTCCTAAGTAGTTAAATGAATAACTAAAATCAGTGACTGATCGTTTTGCTAGGCGATCACTTTTCGATTGGCTGAAGGAGCAACGCTGAAAGTCGTCGATTTTTAACTTGATGCGGTTGACATCCTTCGCCACGACTCCTGTGACTGAGAACAGAACCTTGAAATCGCAACTAAATTAGAGGTAAATAGTGAAATTTGAGCCCAAATAAATTGTAGTATGAACTTATACGGAGAGACCAACAACTTATCCTCGGAAATTTACTCGAAAGAACCGGACTTTGATTAGTATCAACTTGAAAAACACGAAAGCATTGTGTAAGCCAGTACCCACTGGCCGCAGGTTTGACTGGCCACATGAAAATAGTGCTACCCCACAACAGTTGGCTCATCAATTCTGCACAAAGAGGCATAGTGACACGGAATGGTGTAAAATATTGCTCAGTGCTTCTAGGTTTTTGATATGACTTGACATTAACTTCACGAAGAAATCTCCATAGCAATGTCAGATTATTTCATTTAGGCATAAAAACCGAATACAATAGAACCGCAGTCGTTACTGGTCGTTCTTTTGAGAAGAAAAGATTTGTATTATTCAGAGTTGCAAATTCTAGATAGATGCAAGATCAATGAGGCACTTCATTACTTCTACCCCAATGAGCCTCCAACGCTCACAATAAACAGAGTATAGACATACTGGTGACATATTCTAGTCCTGTTTTTTAACAGACATTGTTGTTAAAGCTTTATCATTGTCTCTCAGAAATCAGTGTTGATAGAAATAACAAAACTGGGTAAAATGGTATGAGCTTAGAATTGGCCAGACGATTCACAAAGCGGTTTGTAAATTTACCCCAATGATCCCACGGGATAGGACCTAAAATAGAGGGACAAAATGACAACGATTATGTTCTTCTATTATACTTATATGTTATATATATATATATGTTATATTGTATGTTAAATAAACCACACGACTTTCCAATGGAGCGGAAGAGAGCGCAGAATTTGCGTGATATCAAACTTCCAATGTTTCTTGGACAGCTTACGTGAAATTAGCTACTTGGTATATAACGTTGGTAACGAATGTAACGTCTTATGTCTCAAAACTCTAGAAGCTGGGGAACTACGCTCTTGATGATTGGAAAAAATTGGCCATGAAGAGCCGGGCACTGCCGCTGATAAAGATGATTTCAGCTTATACCAACACTAAACCTGGAACGAAATAGTGAACTTTGCTTTGGGACCAAACAAGTGATCCAGGTGGGCCGGGCACTGCCGGTGATAAAGATGATTTCAGCTTATACGAACACCAAACCTGGAATGAAATAGTGAACTCTGCTTTGGGACCAAACAAGTGATCCAGGTGACTTGTTACTGGCGACTTGATATCCGACGTGACTCATACACAAGAAGTGCATTGTTTCCACCTGTTACTGTTTTTACCGCCAGAAAATGTAAGAACTGGAGAGGAATAGACAGGTCACGGAGTCGGTTAGTCAATTATGGAGGCTTTTGCTGTCTGAAGACATGGGAAACTGGGAAGTTACGTAGTGAGTGTAAGCCTTCCGACGCAAGCGATTCATGAACGGTCTGACGAAGTCATGTCTGCTAGTATCATTAACCATCGACGAGTTGGTCCCGAGGTCCTCATCCAGGAAGAGGGAAGGTGTTAGCCCGACTGAATTAACCTATTGGCGTTTTCATACTCCGATGTCGTGGACTGTCACAGACTGTTCACCTCTTCCACGCACGCTAGAGGGAAGCTGTTAGCCCGAGTGAGTTAACCTATTGGCGTTTTCATATTCCGATGTCGTGGACTGTCACAGACTGTTCACCTCTACCACGCTCCTATTCGGTACGGAGTAAAGTGAGCCCTGCGAAGCAGCCGGTCCTCTGGCTTGCGAATTATGGGTCCTAAAGAGAGTAACCTATGTGGTCACGGGAGCGTTCGTTTTTGCAAAAACCATCGCTAATTAGATATTCCCATGTGATCTGGCCAACTCTTTGAAGAGCGAAGGAAAAACACTGGTCATACTCCTTGTGCACGTAACAGGTTTTGTCTCTGATTCATACTGTAGTATGGACCGCATCATCGTAGTATCTATTCTCGTGTATACTCTTGGCAGACAAACTAAGTCACGCCAGTGCCGTATGTGGCCGAGTTGGGCAAACGCTGTTCTGGTCCTTCTGATTCGTCTCCAACCTGTCCATCGAAATTTATACATCTGCCCAGGCACACCAGTTTACCTACCATGTCTACTGGCTGGTCTGCCAGCATGACATCTGGCTTTGATCTCACCCAGTCCGTAACAGGAGTCGCGAATCAAGTCCGGGACCACATGGCAGAATTATTTAGTAATTATTTGAGATCTGAACCAAACGTTTGACAAAATGATGTTTGAAAGCCTGTCTCAGGGCAAAAATATTATCGATGCCTCATCAGCCATGATGAAATTTAGCTTGGTTTGAACGAATCTACAATTTGTGCAATATACAAGAGTGTACAAAATAGTGCAAGTGACCACCTTGGATGCCACCAGGCTAATATCGTGATGTCTTTCACATGGAATTCTGCGTCCTTTCTCAGGATTGGAGTGACAGCAAAATAGTCGCGTTCCACCGGCACCGCATCTTCGACAGCCGAAGCCTTCTCCACTTCCTGGACTATGACAGTCCACGCTGGTTGTTTGTTGTTCTTCAAACACTTGAATATCTGGCGTTTGAAACGTCTGCATTCACCATCAAACTCGCCTCTGCTAGCATCAATAAAATCTGCTAATATGGTTGGGTCGGATGACGTCGACAAACAGTCCCAGAAGCTTGCAGCATAACTTCTTTCATTCTCTTCCATGAATCCTCCCACCAGCCTTCGTCATCAATGTGACCGTGCGTTTCCAGCAGCTTTGCAACCAACATGACCATTTCAATGGGAAAGTGATGCTGCCTTCCTCCAAAGGAAGGAACTAGTAAAGGTCAACCCTGAAAACCGCACATTATAAGCACCCAAATGTCGACAGCTGACTGGTGAAATACGCGGTATGTTAGAAATGCAATTGAGAAAGATCATAAACCTGATGCGACTCTAAATGCATCTTTTGTGCACAGTACCATCAGAAGTGAGAATTGTGGCATTTGTCCCTGAACCCTCAGGCAAGATCAACCCCGCGAAACCAATTGGACCAGACTATTGAAGTAATGGTTGTGAGCGGAGTCTCTCCAAAGCAGGAAAGCCCGTAGCTGCGATGTCATCTATTAACAAACACGAACAAGGCTGTTAAAAGCCATCAGGCAAAAACGTTAACATCTAATATGTACATATTCTTTAAAAACTGAACATCCTCGCATATCCTCTGGAACTTTCCCGGATATTCATTGACCATTACACAACAGTAAACGAACAATAGAAAGCAGTTCCACAATTTCCACGATAAACTTCATCTTCCATCAGATGCTGGACGGAGCTTAGGCACTAGCCATAGACTACTCACACGATTCATCAGTAGTTTCCATCTTTACACCAGCTTCATCGTGAATCAGACTTTTGAGTAAAAGGGTTAAGATCGACTATCTCAAACAAACCCTATCACTGAGTCTGATGAAATTTCTATTGATGTATGTTTTGTCTTCGAAACGGACATTCAAGAATCCGCCTCGATCATGTGAAAGTCCTTAGGATGAGCACAAGTATTCCACATCTCATTCTACACGTAGCTGATTATCCTGAGGGAGCGGCTCATGTTATATATGGTGTGGCTACTGCATCAGTCTCAGGGGGTGAATGCACCTTATTGGACTGGGTTTCAGAAAACGGTCATCTTTGTGCTGGAGCTTTGTCTTTATCAATTAATATCAATGCAGTTTGACGAGATGTGCTGTGTTTTTGTTGTATAGATTACAGTTTTGAAGCTGAGAAAGATGCTTTTTATCGCAATCTATCAAGACTTTTCTATCAGCAAGGACGATTGATACTGCTGTCCTAGAGTGGGATTTGGAAACCCATTTCGGGCGATTAAGCTCGGAAGAAGCATAATTGGAGAGTCGTTTCAGAGCTGAGGCCCAGTGGATAATGGAGAACTATTTCCAAAGTTGCATTCAGAACATAGTTCGATCCTAGTCACTACGATATTCCTGCAAAAGTGCGCCCACGCCGAATCAATTGGTGGTCACCAACCGAAAGCCAGTCAAGGCCTCGGTTGAGTTATGTGGATATCATTCGCAACTGAAGAGCTTCAAACAAATAATTCTGTTGCTTCTGAGGTATGTAACTTGACTCTGATAATGTCGTTTTGCCGTCTTGGTCATTGGTTCACTTTGTTTTAATACTACGCGGTACTCAAGTCCAACCACCCCAAGTGGTAGCTGCTTGTCTGAGTGGGTTATTGCGTACTTCGATGCCTAACCAACTTCTCCGGCCACTGTGGAATGTGTTCAACGGCTCATCGGATCAGTTGCCTTTCTACTCCTACCATGCAAATGTCACCATAGTTGTACTACTTAAAATGTAAACGCTAATAAACCAACGGATAAAATGTATCAATTTTGAATAAATTTTGCGACAATGTCAGACAGACAGTTTGCTGGCCTTTGGCGTCAACTCAGATAGTTCTTGACTTTTTTTCACCCTTCTGAACTGTATTGAATATATAGAACTCCCCGCTGTTACAAAGCTACTATTGTACACCACCATACTTGGATTACGATGGAATGATACAACATTAATTTGCTGGAGACTACTGGACAGTGTTTCGACCTCCGCGGGCAAAAACCAACAGCTACCGTTCAAGAATGGGGCTGAACATAACATGAAATATAAAAGTTACACATGAATACTATTCAGCAGATATACACCATCCAATGAACTAGCGTTTTCAAAATATTACTGAGAGTTACCTTCAAGCACGCTCTAGAAATCTTGCAATTACTTTGAGACTAGTTTAATGATTGAGGCGTCACGAATCTGATTGCAGATTTAAAAAGTCCCTCGTTTAGGATCTACACTCTTAACCAGACAGGAATTTTGGTCTGAAATCTGTCGTTCTTGTGCCAGGTTAACAGACGAATCGCCGGTATTGGTTGTTGGTCAGGTGGTACTCCACCGAAGAAGCCATCAACAAACATCGAAAATGATCCAATTTACCGGCCACTAAGAGTGAGAAAACGCCAGAACCACATAGCTTAGAGCTGCAAACGTAACCAGACGAGGAACTCATAAGAGAAGCTGGAAAGCATCATTTAAACGGACACATCAATTGGATTGGAGGAGGCGCTCAACCAAAGCACCAAATCAACCGGTGGACGCAGGGACACTCCCCGCTACGGTGGAGGAAATAGGGCGGTAAAGCAACCAATCAAACTCGAGAACGTCAGACTACCACGCAATGCGAATCAAGGCCAGAGAGAACAAGCTAGTGAAATTAGAATGCGTTGGGATAACCAATCAACACAGAGGAACGCAGACAAGGCGTTGGATAACCAATCAACACAGAGGAACGCAGACCACCACGCAACAAAAATCACAAACGGACCAATGGGTCCACCATATTCATTACACTTCAAGTAGTCAATCACGTCAGGAGGTAACAAATAGCCTTCTAGTGCTATATAGACGCACGCAGGCAAGGAAGAATTACCCACTCAAGTGTGCACTGATGACGTCTCCTCGTATGGTGACGAAACGTTTACAAGCCGATTGCCAAGCTCGGCGAACAGATCAACAGCTACCTGATCAACAACCAATATAGTCACCCAAGCTACCAATGTTTCAACACATTACCAATCGCTAGCATATTACTTGTAAAACTTTCCAAGTTTGTTCTGGCAAACTGGTTTTATCTGGTTTAACACTGATTCGACACATATTACTGTGACATATCGTTGCGTCAGAGAAAAACAAATATACTCATCTCACGTGGGATAAATCGAATGTAGGGTTCAGATGATGATGACAGATTCAAATTGGCTTGCACGAAAATTCGGATGGGTCTGTGTTCGATTGCTTGCACCATTGGAGGAATGGTGTTGTTGTACACATCGATTGTTTCGTTCAAACCACCAGAAATATTCACCAGGAACGATGGCGTTTCCTGTTGAAAAATTAAGAAATAGACGGCGATGAGTTATGCAAAATAGGGCGCAATGTTTTGTTTATTTCTTAGCCATGAAAATTTTGGATGGGGTGATGGTACAGGTCACCTTTTATGGCCATTGCAAGAAAGTCGCAACACCTAAAAGATGTGACCGCAAATCCATAATCTTTTTTTTCAAATGTTCTACAAACCACTCATCGTATTTGGTTCTTCATTTTCCGCGGGAGTCTGGACTCAAGTAAAGGTTGTCTGTTTTCGAAGTTGAACACTTGAGGTGACAGTATGGTTGGTGCGATTCCTAGAGCGTTGAAAATAACTACCAAGGACGCGATTCCAACAAAGGCTGCGGTTACGGCAATAGGCTGCGCAAAAGACAACAGAAATAGAACCACCTTTGTTATCTAGATGTAACACGCTACATGTGAGGTTGCCGAAAACACTTCGTCAGCTCACGACCGGTTTTGTACCTTTTAAGGCTCATCGGCTAGGCGCAAACCCCAAGTTTCCGTCAACCTTATGTTCCAACTGAACCCAAGATAGTAATAGAACTCGCTACTCGAGTGATGAGTTCTCAAGTGAAATTATCAGACAACCTATGAAAAGTCGGTCAAGCCAGTTGGATGCCGTTATTGAAGGATGACTGGTGCTTCATCTCGTCTGAGTTCGATCTATCATGCTGCGGATTAGCAACTCGTGGCCCCTGATTAGGCCTTCAGCTACTAGTCAGGAGGGTGCAGAGTCCTACCTCCGTGGAAGTTCGTGAGACGTGCACTGCTGATGATTCCCAATTTGGGACAAAACAGCTTTAAAGCGTCTCTCAGTTTCTCAGCACATCTGGACTTTACTTGGAGAAAAAAATCTACTATCCGAAGTAAGCGAAAGTTTTTGTATTTGCTGCGAAA